AAAAATTGAAACTGATATTCTCAGGTAAATTCCACAGAGGGCTCTTTCTGCCGTAGTAATAAAGGCTTTGACAATCCTGCTTCTTTTCCACTCTCCTCAGGTGTCTTTAACATGAAATCACTCAGTGGGAAAGCAGTTAAACAGTGCCTACCCCTCTGGGGGTTGGGGGTAGGGGCAGTGTCCTTAACTTTTGGCAACTGCATTGGCTAGTGGTTGAGAGCCCAAAATCTGAAGTCAGACCACCTGCTTCTAATCCCCATCTAGGGTCTGTGTGACCCTGGGCAAGTTGCCTAACCTCCCTAGGTCTCGAATTCCATATCTGTAAAGTGAGGAGAGTAATAATAGCACCCACTGGCTGGGCCTGTTATAAGGGCACGTGAGTTCATACCTGTGAGGCACTTAGCACAGTGCTTGCTCATGGCAAACACTCAGGACACGGTGGCTACATCTCTCTCCCCACCCCTATAGCTGAGAAATCCCAAGTCAGAAGCCCCAGGTTCAGATTAGTGTTCTCATTTTATAACTGAAGTTAAATCTCTTGACCTTGATCTCAGTTTTCTTGTTTGCAAAATGGTACCCAGTAATCCTCAAGTCAGGCAAAGCCAGGCCTTGGCAGTTATTTCTCAATAAGGACTGAATATACAAGGTAATGATGGGCTATTTTTAAAGTCTGGACACAAAGGACAAGATGGTAAAGATTAAAACTCATCTATTTTGGCAAGGCACAATGGCTCATGCCCGTAATCCTAGCGTTCTGGGAGGCCAGTTGGTCAGGGCTCTGAAAAGAACAAAACAGAAAGATTGGAGAAAAGGAGGTTTGAGAAATAGATAAGTGTATTGCAGGGCCAGTATTAGGAGCATTTGCACGACCCTGAGAATGAGTGCCCACTGTCCTAAGCACCTAGCTTGCCTCACCCAGTCCCAGCCTTGGTAGATGGGCCTTTGGGAGCATGCACTCAGAGCCCAGACCTTTGGGCCTCACACTAATGCCCACTAAAGACCAGCTAACACAGAGGAGGCAGCGAACAGCCAGCTGAGCAAGATAACTCATCCTGTGGCTGTCAGCCAGCCTTCTCTTCAGCCACCAGTCTTCCCAGGGCTGGCGCAGTGGGCTGGCAAACACAGTGGACTTGGTGGTTGTGCAGGGGCTCAAGATCACGGACACCTTCTCGCCACAGTTCAAAGCTACTGCGTGCCCAGCTTGCTCAGAGCAGAGGTTGACGCTGAGCCCTGTATCTGGTACTATTCCTTCCTTAGTCGGGGGAGAAAGCATCCAGCCTCAGGGTGGCAGGTTCATTACAAAAGACCCCTTCCCCTTTTGAGGGGGAAGTGATTTGTCCTTACCAGAACCATTACAAACTCCAGCACCACCACCCATGTGCTTACAAAACGCCTGATCTCTCAATATGATATCCCACATCACACGCCTCAGACCAAGGAACCCATTTTATAGCAAACAGGCACGACAACAGGCTCCTGATCAGGGTAGGTGTACCGGTCCTACCCTATCACCCAGAATTAGCCAGCTTGATAGAATGGTGGACGGCCTGTTGAGAGCTCGGGAAGGCACCATCTGAGAAACAATCCTTTGTGGGGTTTGAGCCTTCTCCTCCAGAATGGGATATATACCTTAAACCAATGCTCACAATATGCTACTGTGTCCCCTATAACCAAAATACACAGGTCTGGGTGTCAAGGACTGAAATTAGGTTAGCTGGGCATAGTGGCGCACATCTGTAGTTCCAGCTACTCAGGAGGCTGAGGCAGGAGGACTGCTTCAGCCCGGGAGTTCAAGGCTACTGTGAGCTATGGTCATGCCACTGCATTCTAGCCTGGGCAACAGAGTGAGGCCCTGTCTCTACAAATAAATAATTAAAGATTTTTTTGAGAAGGACTGGAATTAGGAATGGACACTCTCACTATCACACCCAGTGACTTATATGTGAACTTGTGCTTCCCTTCACCAAAATCTTGGGATCTTCCAGGCTAGAGGTCCTAGTTAACAGAGGGAGAAGACTTCTACCAGTTGACATAGTAAGAATCCCATTAAACTGGTAGCAGCAACTGCCACCTATTCACTTTGGGATCCTCCTGCAGTGAACCAACAGGCAAAGGAAGACAGTTTCCCTACTTGCTAGAACAATCAGTCATGGTTACCAGGAGGAGCGAGAGTGGCCACACAGTGGGGGCAGAGAGGAGAATGTCTTGTACCCAGTGATTCTCTGGGGCATGTCTTCATGGTTTTGTGCCTGGTGATGACCATAGATGGTCAACCAACAAAGGATAACTAGGGGTCTATGCCCTTTGGCAATGAAGGTCTAATCACCCTACCAGGAAAACCAGATGAAGTGTCAACTGAAGGTGGGCATCTAGAATGGGTAATAGAGGAGGGAAATGATGAATATCAAGTAGAGCCTCTGGATCAGTTACAACTAAGAGGATTGTAGCCTTTTTCACTAATCTTTTTGCCTTAGTCTTTGAGAAAAACACTCTCGACTACCACCTTAAAGTGGGCCCTGTGACCGACTGGACATGAAGCTCTCCTCTTGGGGGAATAAGCAAGAAATTAGGGACACCTTTGCACGGAGCAAGTTCAAGCCCAAGATCATAGTATGGGAGCTGGATATGATGAGAGGGCACAAGGGGTGGGCTGCGTTGGACACAAAACTTGCACGCCCCTTAGGTTCTTTTAATTGACTCCTTATTTCCAAAGGGGCTGTCCACTTCCCAAACCTCTGCCACTTCTATCAGAGCCCCTTTTTGGTGGCCAGAGCTGACTGGAGTCCCAGAAACGCATCATCTTCTCACCCCACATCCTGAGGCTATCTCTCTGAGTCACCCCTCCGTTTCCGATTAATATCCATGGCCCACCGCACATGGGCCATGGATCTGGCTTCCAGAGTGGACACCAAGGTACAGGCGGTCAGCCTCTACGTCAGTTCCCACCAGATAAGCTTGACCAGTGGGAAGCGGGAAGCAAGGGGGAGCTGGGCAGACGGATACATTCCTCCTTCTTGCTCCCTTCCATGGATCACTCCAAGGTGTGATTTCACCTCGTACCCTGTGTGAAGAAGCCCGCTTTGCCAAGGGAGAATGCCCATCAAGCACCTGCTGTTGCTGTTTGCAGCTGGGTTTGCAGCAGTAGCCAATGCCCTAACATCGTTTTGCATCTTTTTTTTTTTTGGCTGCACTACTCCTTTCCTCACTCTCACTACTCTGAGCTTGGTCCCTCTTCTAGAAAGAACTTTCCCCACCTTCTTCAACCTGACTCATTCTCTGCAACTCAGCTCAACCTCATGTCTTCTGACATCCCAGCCCCCCCTACACACACACACACACACACACACAAAAACACACACACATACATACACCCCAAGCTAAATTGGGGGTCTCTGAGGGGAGCTCCCATAGCATCAGCCCACACCACCAGCTCACTACAGCTTTAATAAGTATCTGCTAACAAGGCCATGCCCCCCACCTGATATCTTGAGACAAGTTCCTTTTTCCTCTCTGTTCTCAGCAAAAAGAACAGCGCCTGGTACATAGCCGCGAAACTTTGGCCTAAATCCCAGTGCAAGTAGTGAAAGTAAATCTAGTTTCAAATCCTGACTCTGACACCAACTTCTGAGACACTGAAAGACCCTGGCCAAGGCACTTAATTCTGTGAGCTTCAGTTTGCCTTTCTGAGAAGTGGGCATAATGTTCCCTGTCCCCTTCTTAGTTTGTGAGGATCAAAAGAGAGAGAAATAGGATTGGCCCTCTTACATGGCAGTGGGTATAAGGACAACAGAGGTTTAAGACATCATCGCTGATGTTATTTTTTTGTTGTTGTTTTTTATTTTATTTTTTTTTTTTTGAGGCAGAGTCTCACTCTGTTTCCCGGGCTAGAGTGCTGTGGCATCAGCCTAGCTCATAGCAACTTCAAACTCCTGGGCTCAAGCAATCCTCCTGCCTCAGCCTCTAGAGTAGCTGGCATGACAGGCATGCGCCACCATGCCCGGCTAATTTTTTTGTATTTTTTAGTTGTTCTTTTCTTTTTTTTTTTTTTAGTAGAGATGGGGTCTTGCTCTTGCCCAGGCTGGTCTCGAACTCCTGAGCTCAAACAATCGATCTGGCCACCTCGGCCTCGCAGAGTGCTAGGATTAGAAGCGTGAACCACCACAGCCTGGCATCACTGATGTTATTAACAACAACTGCTAACAGTGTTGTTACTAATAACAACCTGCTTAGCTGGAGGAAATTCTTCTGTCTTCCTCCAGGATTGCCTGGTTTTGCCCTAGCCCAGCGCCATTATCTGCTCAAGAATGGAAGCCAGGGCCCCTCCTCCCTAAGCCCTTATCTCACAGATTTGACATGACCTCAAAAAGTCCTTCCAGAAGTCTGACCCACATCCTTCCTGTTGCAGCCCCGCCCCCTCCCCTCCTCATGTCTCCTCAAAGTATAATCCTGAGTAATAATCTGCAAGAAGCCCCGAGCATCTAGCAGGGCATAACCCTTCTGAGGTTCACATTCACATTCCCTCCGCTCAGAGCAGGCCAAGAGACAAGGCACCTGTGGGAAATTTTTCAGGGAGAAAGCAGAAACCCAGAAAGAGAGAAAGGAAAGGTCTGGTCTGGGGTGAAGGAGCAGAGAAAGAATCAGGAAGGTTGGAGGTCAGATAGCAATAAGGACTTCCCAACACCTAAACCCAGAGTGACACAAATATCCACCACTGCCATACCACCACTACCTTCAGCTGCACAGCTTCTGGGGGTGGGACAATTGCCTGACGGCTTTCCATGACGTGGGTCTTCTGTTGGGGCTAAGGCTGTGGGTAAGGTGACATTTCCTGCCTCCAGGGGCCGGGTGAGAAGAGAGATGAGTTGCTGAGTGTGCACACCTCTCAAGAGCACACAGACACACCCTGCTCTGGGATCCCTTCATTGGCTGGCCCCATGGAGTTTCCCCTGACCCAGGTATACCCGCAAGGTAAGTGTGAAACTTTAGAATGCTGGCGGGAGGGGACATCAAGACCCCCATGCCCCTGGTTGCTCTCCTGGACCTGAGCTCCCATTTCAGAGGTGAGGGGCCCCACCCCAAGCCAGAGCTGGCAAGGCTGATTGGGAGGGCGGCCACAATCCCTGCTCCCTCTCTGGGGCTCCATGTCCACTCATCCCTGAGGACAGAGGTGACAGGGCTTGCTCGGTGCTTCTTAGAGAGAGAGGAGGGAAAAGGGGATAAGGGGGCTGGGAGGCAGAGGATCTTGGGCCAAAAGAGGGACCTTCCCTGAAGAGACTATGGGACTTCGGGGCCATGAAAAGGCCAGCCTAATTCCCAGGCTCTCCTTCCTGGCACCGGTTTCCCTGACAACCCCCTCGTGGGCATTAGCTCTCTGTGCCGCCTTGGCTCCTTACTCCTTACCTCTGAGAAGTCCCCCTCCGCTGTCCCTCCTGCATTTCTCCTGTTGACCCAGCCCTCCAGGTCCAGGGTCCGAGGCCTGTGGGGCCCCTCGGAGCCTGGGGGAGGGGTAGGAAGCAGAGAAGAGGCTGTCCCTCCCCGAGAAACCCCAGCAGCCCTCTCTGTGCTAACAGGGAGTCACGAAGCCCCCACCCCGACCTTCAGCACCTTCCAGCCTGTGGACTTGACCCGCAGGAGCTGCCGGGGCCTGGGCTTGCTCCCGGGGCCCAGACTGCAGACCCTGAGGGCTGAGGAGGCCCAGCCCGGCGACACAGCCCCAGCGGGCCACTCTGCGGTGAGTGGGAGCGCGGGGCCTGGGGGGCTTTTCACTTAAAACTGAAAATATTCTAAGTGACAAGTGAGTAGCCCCTTGGGCATGCAGCTCCCTCATCTCTCCCACCCTCACATGGGTGTAGACTCCTGGATGGACTGAGGTCACCAAGGGAGGAAGCAGGAATGATGGGGGCTGCCCACGGGGCCAGGGCACAGAGGCGGGAACAAAGATGGCGAGTACCTTCTTCATGTGCTGAGTTGCCCACTTGCCCCCTCGAGGCTCCTCTGCCTCAGGAAGCTCAGGCTGAGCCCATAGGTGACCAGAAACAGGCATCTGTATCTGTGTGTCCAAGGGCTTCGCTTGCCCAGTGCATTCCAGACCCCTGGCTCCGTCCCTCCCACCTGCCCAGTCATCAGGGAACCTTCTGCTGCAGGGTAAGGCCCTGCCATTCTGGCCTCTGGGGGAACTTCCTGCATCATCTCCCTTCATCCCCAGGCCAGGGAATGGCTCTGTCCGCCTGCAAGGCCTTGCTGCCTCTCTCGCCTCTATCTGAGCACAATTTAACAGCTCACTGCTCCTGGGTTAAAGGTCCACAGGACCCAGAGGGAAGAGGAAGGAGAGTCCTGGAAACCAGAACAGCTGGAACTGAAGAAGGGATTTAACTTAGACCTCAGGAAAAACATTTTGGTCACTTTTACCCTAAACTAGGCAGGAGGAGCTGGGTTGGAGGATGAGAAGGTGGCAGCTGACTTGGAATCAGGAGAAGGGCCACTCGTGGCTGCTTCCCACTCCTGGAACTCTTCCCCTGTCCAGGTATTGCCCCAGTCCCCCGGGGCTGCCCAGCCCCCAGACGAAGCCGAGGAGGTGCCTGGGGAAGGAAGCCTGTCCCTACAGGCTGAGATCCGGGATTGGTTCCAGAAGACCCAGGCCCACTCGCTCCTGCAGCACGGGGCAGCCCCTGCCTGGTTCCATGGCTTCATCACCCGGAGGTGAGTCACCGAGGAGCCCCAGAGGGGGGCAGGGGCAAGTGCGGGGCGCTGCGGCCAGTCAGGAGTAAATTATGGCTGCGACTCCAGGCTCCAGCTCCTGGAGTTTCCCAGGCCTTTCACTGAGGCAGCTCTCCTGGGGGAGATCATTGGAGAGGCGCCAGCCTAAAACCCTCTGTGCCTCAGTTTCCCCTCTCTTGGCTCTATTATCTTCCTGTCTCTAAGGCCTCTCGTCCTCATTTTTTCCACCTCTCTCTCCTGCCATAGCTTACTCCATCTTTACCTCTGACTATCTCCACCCCTCTCCTCTTCCTTCCCGCCCTTGCAGATCCTCCCTCCACCTCCATTTCTCAACCTCACTTCTTTTTTTTTTTTTTTTTTTTTTTTTGAGACAGAGTCTCACTTTGTTGCCCGGGCTAGAGTGCTGTGGCGTCAGCCTAGCTCACAGCAACCTCAAATTCCTGGACAATCCTCCTGCCTCCGCCTCCTGAGTAGCTGGGACTACAGGCATGCGCCACCATGCCTGGTCAATTTTTTATATATATATTTTTTTAGTTGGCCGATTAATTTGTTTCTATTTTTAGTAGCGACAGAGTCTCACTCTTGCTCAGGCTGGTTTCGAACTCCTGACCTTGAGCGATCCGCCGCCTCCGCCTCCCAGAGTGCTAGGATTACAGGCGTGAGCCACCAAGCCGGCCATCAGCCTCGCTTCTTGTTTCTCTTTGTTCACCTCCTCAGTTCAGCTCATGACTTCTGAAGTCTAGAAGGCTAACTACCATCCCTGTTGCTATGGTGGCAGCCCCTCCAGGCTGCCCTTCCAGGGTGAGGCCAGTGGAGGATGCAGGGCTGGGCTGGGTCTCCTGAGTGGGTCCCCTGGCCCCTGTCTGCCCCCAGTCCCCCCAGCAGGGGAGAGCAGCACCCACATCCCCTCTCCCATCTTCACCCTATCCCTTTCTCTGGCGGCTTCAGCATGCCGGCTTGGGGGTAGGGGTCCCTCATGAGAGAGCCTAGGTGACAGGAGCGAGGCGGGAAGAGTCAAAGCAGGATTCTACCTCCTCTGTCACCCACAGGGAAGCCGAGAGGCTGCTGGAGCCCAAGCCTCAGGGATGCTACTTGGTGCGGTTCAGCGAGAGCGCGGTGACCTTCGTGCTCACTTACAGGTGAAGGGCCGAGCGACCTGGAGGCGGGGCTTCGGGCCAATTGGAGGGGCGGGACTCGGTGCTGGCCCTCGGCGGAGCGGGACTCCTCGCTCAGCTGCTGCAGGTAGGGGTCCCGCAAATCCGCGCTGGTGGCCCTGGCCTGGAGAGGGAGAGGAAGAGGCTCAGACCCCAATGGCGCCTTCCAGGAGCCGGACTTGCTGCCGCCACTTCCTGCTGGCCCAGCTCAGGGACGGGCGCCACGTGGTGCTGGGCGAGGACAGCGCCCACGCGCAGCTGCAGGACCTGCTGCTGCACTACACGGCACACCCGCTCATCCCCTACGGGGAGACGCTCACCGAGCCCCTGGCCCGCCAGGTACTTCCCTGATCCTGACCCAACACCCCAGAGTCTCAGGCTGGCGCCCTTTGTCACCCAGAGCCCAGGCGGCGGACTACAGCACCAGGCACTTTCCCATCCCCACAGACAACCCCGCCACACCAGCCTTGCCCACACATCTCTGTGGGAGGCCCTTGGAGAAACACAGGTGCTGGGGAGGAGTCCTTAAAAGACCAGCCCAGCTACTCAGAGACGGAGGGGCAGGGAGAGGCCAGCTGGGCACACAGCGTTTTGTTTTTTCAGTTGAGATATTTTACTGAGTACCTAGAGCGTGCCAGGCAGGCAGGCCCTGAGAACAGGCCCATGGACAAGACAGACGGGTCTCAAACTCACAAAGCTGACTACCTTCCAGCTGCAAAGACAGACAAGGAATAAGAATCGAGTGTAATGGGTGTGATACAGGGTGCCATTTAGCCTGCAGGCAGCATCAGCAGGGAGGGCCTTCCTGAGCAACTGCAGGCAGTTCTGAGGGACCGCTGTGTGCCAGGCGTCCTTCGGGCACTAGGAAAATGGCAGTGAACAAAACTGACCAAAATATTCCCACCTTAGTGGAGCTTACATTCTAGCAGGAGACAGACAATGGATAAGTAGCACAAATAACAAGCAAACATTCATAGTATGTCCAGTAACGGAAAGTAAGTGCGGAGAAGAAAAACAGAGCAGTGATAGGGACTGACAGGGTTGGGACAGTTTTACATAGGGATGTCAGGAAAGGCCACTCCAGTAAGGGGACATCTAAATAGAAGCCTGACTGGAGTAAGGGGGGGGAGCCATGCAGATGACTGGGGGAAAAGCATTCTCAGCAGAAGGAGCAGCAGGTGCAAAGGCCCTGAGGCAGGGGGGCAGCGTGTTGTGTTTTAAGAATAATGAGAGCGGCGAGGAAGCTGGCGTGGGTGACCAGGACCTAGGGATGGAGGCAGGACATGAGATCAGCAAGGTGAGGGAAAGGGGTCCTGTAGACTCTCATGTGGATTTGGAATTTTATTCCGAGTGAGTTGAGGTGGCACTGGAGAGTTACATGCTGAGGAGTGACATGACCTGCCAAGTTGGGGAGCGGCAAGGGTGAGGTTGCGACCCACCAAGGCTACTACAGTATTTCAGGTGAGATGACGGCAGCCTGGACCTGACTAGCAGAGGTGGAGGCGTGGGGAGGGTGGAATGCTGGGACTGGTTGCAAGGTGGAGTTGATGGCATTTATCACCAGATTGGATGAGGATGAAGAGATGGGGTTGTCACTGACTGAGATGAGGAAGGCTGTAAGAGGAACAAGTCTGGGTGGGGCAGGGAGATCAGGAGTTCAGTTTCTGACACGCACAGTTCAAGATGTCCGTTTGGGCCAGGCGCAGTGGCTCACGCCTGTAATCCTAGCACTCTGGGAGGCCAAGGTGGGAGGATTGCTCGAGGTCAGGAGTTCGAAACCAGCCTGACCAAGAGTGAGACCCCATCTCTACTAAAAATAGAAATAAATTAATTGACCAACTAAAAATATATAGAAAAAATTAGCCGGGCATGGTGTCGCATGCCTGTAGTCCCAACTAGTTGGGAGGCTGAAGCAGGAGGATCGCTTGAGCCCAGGAGTTGGAGGTTGCTGCGAGCTAGGCTGATGCCACGGCACTCTAGCCCAGGCAACAGAGTGAGACTCTGTCTCAAAAAAAAAAAAAAAAAATGATGTCCATTTGACATTCCAATGGAGATGTCAAGTAAGCAGTTGGAATACAGAGGTCTGGGCTAGAGATAATATTTGAGAGACATCAGCACGTAGATGGACGATAAAGTCTTTAGAAAGGTGAAATCTCACTCAGGAGTCAGTGTAGATGGAAAAGAAATGAAGCCCAAGTCTTCAGCATTTAGAGTTTGCAGAAATGAGGAGGAACCTACAAAGAAAATTGGAAAGAACAGTCAGAGAGGAGGAAAACCAGGAGAGGGTGATACTCTGGAAGCCAAGTGAAAAAAGTGAGCAAGAAAGAGTGAGTGGCAATGGGTCAGGAATTGTCCATTGGACTTAGCGGAAAAAGTTGTTGGTGACCTAGACCAGAACAACTTCGCAGAGCTTTATTGGGGTCGCTTCAAAGAAGTGGGGACAGTGCCTGTGGGGACTGACTCTTTTGTGAGGAACAGGCAGGGACCTGAAGATTCCCAGGTAAGGAAGTCTGGGGGTGAGGGGAGCTGGCTGGAACTAAGGAAGCTGAAGGCAGAGCTGTTGGAGTCCAAGGTCTATGCCCAGGTCACACAGGGACTTGTCACTGAAGCTCCCAGGACTTTGATTTATCCTGGGGCAACAGGGGACCTCTGAAGGATTGCTAGGGGAGTCTGTAAGATCACCCTGCTCAAGACTGGAGAATGGCTTGGAAGGGCAAGAGGATGCAGGCAGAGGAATTAGGAGGCCTGAAGGAGGATGCTGGCTATGTGCGTGGAGAAATGTGCACAGAAGTGAAAGATATTTAGGCAGTGGAAGGAGCAGGGCTTGTGTGCGATTTGAGGTGGGGAAGAAGGTGAAGGGGTCAAGGCTGAGTCGGAAGGTGCCATTTTGGCAGCAGGGTGGAGGTGCTACTTTTTGTTCATGAAAGAAATGCCAAGGCAGGCGTTGGAACAGGGAAAAAGAATTCTGGTGTGGGTCCATGAAGCCTGCACTACACCGTCACTTGGAGACATGCACGTGATGGACTGCAGGAGCATGAGGAAAGCCCTGTGGCCTTAGCCTGCAGAATCAGCAGGCATGAGGAGGGCGCACATGAACCCAGGGCTAATGCTGAGCTGAAGTCCCACCTACTGTAAGGTGGAGCCTTCCCACTGGGAGGCTCATCTCTCCCAAGGCAGTCTCCGCCCTTAAAAATTCTAGCTTGTGGGCCAGGCATCATGCCTATAATCCTAGCACTTTGGGAGGCAGAGGCTGGAGGATTGCTTGAGCTCAGGAGTTCGAGAACAGCCTGAACAAGAGCGAGACCCTGTCTCTACTATAAATAGAAAGAAATTAACCAAACAACTAAAAGCAGAAAAAATTAGCCAGGCATGGTGGCGCATGCCTGTAGTCCCAGCTACTCTGGAGGCTGAGGCAGGAAGATCGCTTGAGCCCAGGAGTTTGAGGTTGCTGTGAGCTAGGCTGACGCCACGGCACTCAAGCCTGGGCAACAGAGTGAGGCTCTGTCTCAAAAAAAAAATTAAAAAGTTCTAGCTTGTATCTCCACGAATTAAGCTTCCACAACCCATAGAAATAAACATGCGCAGCTGTCATGAAGATTGGTCCCCATGCCAATAATTTTTAAGCTAAAGATTCCTTAAGCCTTGTTGCATTTTTACAACCATAGGCACAAATGGGGACTGGCCTGGCCCAGCCCTGTGTTCCAGAAGAAATTAAGTTTAAAGCTAGATATGGCCTGTGACCAGAGCAAACCCCACCTCCACCCATCCCCTCTTCCTCACCCAGGGAACACAGTCCAGGCCAAATTCCTGTGCCCGTCTCCTCTCCCCTATCCTCTACTTGGACCAGATTATGCCGTTCTCCTGGATCTCCTGCCTACTCCCCAACCTTGCTCTCTCCTGCACCAAATCCTTCAGACTTCCTTCTTTCCCAGCAGATTCCAGAGCCTACAGGACTTTCCCTTAGGGCTGAAGAACCAGATTCTGGAAGCAAAAACCAGGACCCAAACCCTCAGTACAGTCCAATCATCAAGCAAGCCCCAGCCTCAACACAAAAAGAGGGGGCTTGGGAGCCAAAGGAGGTATCACAGGGCTGGAGGGGCTGAGGGATGGGGAGGAGCCCAGGGACAAAAAGAGGGGAGATGCCGGTGAGGGAGGTGAGGGGCCCAGAGGGAAGGAGGTGGGGCCCAGAGAGGAGGAGATGAAGGCTGGTACTTAGGCTCGGGCTTTGGCTCTGCCTCAGTTGCTCTCACCTGACTCCTCCCTGGCCTTGCCTTCTCTCCTAGCCCTCCCAACTGCCCAGGCCCAAGCCTCCCATTCCCGCCAAACCTCAGCTGCCCCCCGAACTCTACACGAGCCCCCATCCACGATCCCGCCGGGCCCCACGCCCCAAGCCCACCAACCCTATCTACCATGAGCCTGACGAACCCATAGCCTTCTACGCCATGGGCCGGGGCAGCCCCGGGGAAGCCCCCAGCAACATCTATGCCGAGGTAGAGGGTGAAGGCCCACCGGCCGTGCCCGTGCACCCTGTCCTATAGAAGTGCCGGTCCAGACCTGTCCCAGGAAGCCAGGTAAATGGGGGTACAGGGAAAAGCCAGTCCAAGAAGGTTTTCTTGCCAACTAGACTGGGGAGGGTGGAGAAGGTCAGGCTGCCTGGGTCAGGATGGAGGTCGGAGGTCAGAGGTGGTGTGGGAAGGACCAGAATGGCCCAGGCTGCAGCAACCGTTTTCCAGGCCAGAGATTGCTCCCTCTCTTCTCCTAGAGCCACTCAGACCTGCCTCACCTTTGTCAAGCCCCACCCTCTCCTACTCCACAGAGAAAACAGAGGACCCCAGGCAGGGTCCCCCTCTGCCTCTCCCCACCCGAGCCTGCCTTTGCATCTGTGTCCATCTTGTCCGGCAGGCCCTCCTCAGACGCACTGGGGGCTGGCCCCACGCCATGCCTCCCCGGCCCTCTTCCTTGGCCTTCATGGCCCTGCCATCCAGGAGCAGAAGGGCACTTGGGGTCCTCTGTCATCTCGGGTGAGCTCAGGGGCGGGGGCATCTGCACTCCCAGCCTCCTACACACTCCTCCCACCATCTCCCCACTCCCATCTCCTCACTGAGCAAGTCGGTGTCTCCTCCTGCTGTGTCAGACCCACTGGCCGCCCCTGCCCTCTCCCTCCGCCTCTGTCCCGCTCCTCAGGCCCTGGCCCAGCCTGCCTCCCCACTCCTTCCACTGCCCCAGCTCTCCCCCAGCCCTGTGCCTGCTCACACCCACCGCACCCCTGCCAACTGCTGCTGTCCTAGAGCTGATGTCACCGCTCCATGTCTCCATCCAAGCTTCTCTCTGGGCTTCTGGTCAGCTCCCTGGTGTCCCACAGCCTCCAAACTCAACACGGCCAACACCGCTCTGACCCCAGCCCCGCAAACTGCTCCCTCGAGTGTCGTATATCCTGACTGACCACTCTCCAGCCACCCACTAGCCAAGCCAGAATCCCAGGGCTCCCTCAACATCTCCTCGCTCCTCACCCACCCTCCTCATAAGCCACTAATTCCTGCTCGGTCTCTCTTCCTTAATAGATTTTTCCTTTCCCCAGTCCCAGCCCCCATCATTTCTCATCAGGACTCTTCCAAGAGCTTCTTAACTGGTTTCCTAACCACCAGTCTTGCTACTTCTGATCCACTCTGCCCCAAAGAAGCCAGAACGGTCTTTCTGAAGCAGCTGCCTGGCCCATGAGGCCTTCCACACTTGAGGGGGTATCCCCGCCCCTTAGCCTTAATACCACTGCCCCCATCCTCCTAGAACTGTTCACATTTCTCCAAACTCACCAAGTGGTTTCAAGCCTCCTAGGGTTTGCACCTGCCAGTCCTTCTGCCTATAGCAACTTCCTGCAAGCTCGTCCTCCGACTGCCCAGCAACCTTCTAATCATCCGTCAAGCCCAGCTTGCCCTTCTCCTCTGGAAAGTCTTCCCTGACCTGACCAGAGGCCACCCACCGTGCTTTACATACACCTGCCACTGATCACCTGGGGCTACTCTTCTCTTCCCATCTCCCCATCTCCCTCTTCCCCAGTAGAGTGTGAGCTCCCTGAAGGCAGGGCTGGGACTTATCCTCTGTTTCCAAAGCACCCAGCTCAGAGCCTGGCACAGAACAGGTACTCAGGAAATCTTTGTTGAATGAATGAATGAGAGGGCTTTAGACCGCCTACCAGGAGGCCAATGTCTATTAAGACCAGATGTCTTGGTCTTGAGACTTCAGGTAGGCCCAAGAGGCAGAGGGTAGAGGGTATGACCTAGGATTATCCTTCTCTCTGCAGAATCCAGGTGGGCCACCGCTGCATTCTGAGAACTCTGTGGCTGGACAAGGCCCTCCCCTGGCCCACAAGCCCACATCCCCCTGGAGACACACCCTTCCCCACAATTTTTCTAGATAGATGCTTCTGGACAAAGGACAGGCGTGGCTCCCCCTTGGGCCTCCTCAGTAGGCAGTGAGTCTGAGCTGGGGGAGAATAACTTAGAACATCAAGTGCAAAGACCACCACACACACCTGGGCACCCTTCTCAGGAAACATGGATGGAACAAGCCGTAGGTGATCAAAGCTGGAAAGGACCTCAGCCATCATCTATTGCAAGGATGGCAGAGATGTCACCTTGCATGCCAACCCCAATCCATTGGTTGTGGCTGCCTAGATCACTGCATTGTAAAGGATGTTAAGGTCATATCTGAACTCAGCAGAAAAGAGCACCGTGATTGATGAGTGATGTCTGCCTTGGTTGAGGGAAGGAGGAAGAGCAGCATTTCATTTGTCCTTACAGATGAAGTCCAAGTCCCTCACTGTGCAGACAAGGAAACAAAGCCAGAGAGGGCTAGTGACTTGACCAAGGTCAAGGACTAGAACCCAGGCTTCCTGATTCCCACTTAGTGCTCTGTCCCTTACCCCGCATCCACGAACTCTCCTCTGCAGGAGACATCAAAGATTTCCTCAGACAGGAAATCAGGCTGCTTTCCAGAGTGCTGCCACTCAGGGGCCTAGGTGCTGGATCCCAGCTTAACCCTGTCCCCCTGGCAGGCCTGGCACCCCTCAAAGAAGCCTGGAGGTCAGAGGAGCAAATGTGGAGTCCGTTTCCTCTTCAGGACACGTCCACTGGCTCCCTCCTGCGAGTCCCCAAGAGCCCAGTGGCTCAGTGCTTGGCGACCCTCTAAGGCGGCAAGCAAGCAGGCTAGGAGGGCCCTGCTGGCTCCCACTGCCCTGGTTTCTCCTCCTGGAGTCTAATTTCCTTGGCCCTGTGAGCCTTTGAGTCTGGGCCCTGGTCCAAGGCTGCTGTTATCTGAGGAATGGTTTGGTGAGAACAGATGTTAGAACTTGTTTGTTGATTCTTGTCTGGCTAATAAATCATCAGCAACCGCCTCCCCCCACAGGGATCCAAGTCCTCAGGCTCCTTCTGTCTGTCTCTGACTTTCTCTCTCCCTCATATCGTGCAAGGCGAGTGGTTGAACTGCCATTGCAGTAGGGATAGAGGGGTCTGGGGCTTGAGAGACACCTGGGCAAGGGTCACAGACCTACCGGCTGAGAGCCGGGAGACGCAAGGCAGGGGACACAGACCTCTCTCTGCAAAGTATTCCTTCTCCAGCTGGGGCAGAGGCAGCCAGGGGCAGGGGGTGGCTGCATCACCTGAGGGGTGCCAGTAAAGAAAGAGGGACAGGGAGGGGTGCGGTCGAGGGGTAGCCCCTTCACCATCTCTGCAACCCCTCTGCCAAGCATGGAACTGGGGGCAGGAAGGTGTGTTATAAGCCTGTGTGTGCGAGTCCTTGGACAGGAATCCCCCCTGAAATGGCTCCAGGATTCTCTTGTGTATCTTCCTAGCCTCTTGGGTTTGCCTCAGTCAGGACCCCATTCCCTCTCCTGTCCCTCCTGTGATGTTTCCCCCTTCTCTGCCCAGACCCACTTCAGGGCCAGGCTCCTGCCCCTGTGCAAAGCTTCACATTCTGGGGCTCCAGCCACCTGGAGGAATACATCCTAGGACTTAACTTTTGTCTCTGACTGGGGGCTTTCTGAGGCAGGGCTGTGTCTGCCCCTGGAGCATTCTCAGGGCTCAAAGCAGAGATCGCCCTCCAAGGCCCATCCAGAAGTCACCCAGGCCTGGGTACTCCTATGGTCCCATCTGTGTAGCCTGTTCTTAGGTATCCATTCCTGCGAGAGCTTAGTTAAGGCAATCAGTGCCTGTCAGGGTCCCTCTTCCTGCCAAGTGGCCCTGGACCAACCTGAGGCACAGAGATCCTCTAGATCCTTCCTTCAAGCCATGGTCCCTAAGCCTGGGTGCTGCCACCACACCACACCACCCCCAGCCTGGCACAGGCGCCAGCTCGAGTGACTAGCAAATTCCCCTCCTTTCCACTCCAGTGCTAATCAGCTTAAGGAGAAATATGGTTGCTGAGTCAACAGAGTTGGGGTTCCACTTCCTTTTGTTTAGACCTCAGGTCTAAATGCCCTCCCAGCAAGAGAAGAGGTGGGGAGGGAGGCAGAGGGGGAGGAGGAGAGGAGCAGATGGCTTTGCTGAAATCAGGGAGGAGGCTGAAAGTGCAAGAAAGGTCTCCGATTAGACTCAGGGGGTCACCTCCTGGCAGATTCCTTGCGGCTGAGGGAGGTGGCAGAAGAGTGGCTTACTATACAGCAAGAGGTAGAAATCAGAAAGTCAGAAAACAGGATTTCCTCAGATTTTGGGGTATAACAGCATGGGAAGGTGTGGGGAGGGGACCAGAAATGCCTAGTGACCCCCTTACTGTTTCTAGAGAAGCAAAGCCTACTAGACAAGGGCAGAGTGCGACCCAGGGACCTCTCCCTCCTTCAGCTCCACACAGCTCAGGGTGGTGGGAGAGTCCAGATGATGCTATGTCATCAAGAGCCCGGGTTCCTGTCGTGGCACTGTGCTAATTAGCTGTGCAACCTTTGGCAGGGAACCCTTTTTCTGTGCCGCTGCTCCCCACATTCCTTATGAAAGAAAGCGATTGGCCCCCTCATTTGCACACACGGTTGCTGGTACAGGTGAGACCACGAAAATGAAGGGCTTTGAAAAGCAGTACTGCTGGGGCTAGAAGGCACTTGAGAGCCCTTGTGAGAGACATTCTGGTTCAACTACAGAGGAAACTAAGGTGACAGGGAGCAGGAGGCAGTCAGGCCCAGGGCCCGAATCTTGTCATCCCAACTCAGTGTTCCTCCCAATACCATGGGCCCTCCCAGACCAAAGGATGAGGTCCCGGGCCTGCCCAGGGCTGCCTGAAGACCCAGGCAGCGGAACCTCCCTGCCCCTCACCACTGGGGGCACCCATGCCCCCTCCTGCGGACTCCACTCCCACGCTGAGGCCTGGGGCTGTGGTGAGACCTCAGGAGGGAGGAGAGTTGAGTGACTTGTACAGGAGAAGGGGACTGGGCAATTATGCTGAGCAGGTCGGTCCTCCTCCCAGCCGGGGAGGGCATTTTTCAGCTGACTCAGTCTGCCCACGGTCATTCCATCTTTCCCCCTGCCTCCTCCCGCAGGCCCCTCTGGCTCAGCCCCAGCCGAAGGTCCCCGTCAGAGCACGTGGAAGGCCTTGCCATGAGCAGAGAAAATTGCTCCCACCGCAGCGTCCAGCTTTGTGCTCCTGCCCCTGCCCCTTCTTCAGTGCAGCTGACCCTGATGGCTCCTTCCTGCTTCAGTGTCCCCTATCTGCTCTCTCAGCTAATGCAGTAGACGGTCTCAGTAAGGTGACCTGTGACCTTGGCTCAGGGGCAGGGGGACTGAAAGCTACTAAAAACTCCCAAACCTCAGCTGTCCTGATTCCATAGCACATCACCCCCCACAAACCCACTCAGGGAGGGTTGGGGGCCGGTCATCACTGAGGCCCCACCCTTGCCTACCTCTGCCAGTCCTTACCTGAAAGCTGAACCTAGAGCAAGGAGGGAAAAAAGGACAGACAGGAGCACGCAGGACAGAGCATCCTGGCATCCTTGCCACTTCCCCCAGGCCCCACAGGACTTACCAGCCCCTCGATACATTGGGGCTTCTCGGACAGCAAGCTGAATACCTCGGCTGGGGTACAGACCTGACGGGGCCCCTCCGAAGGGGTCTGTGGCACTGAAACACCCTCGTATGACAACTTGTCATCTCAGTGCAAGTGTGATGCTTATAGCCCTCAGCCCTGCTGTCCTGGGCAGAACAACACCACACCCCAGAGCATTCCCGCCCCGCCAACACCTGCCTGGGATATCTGGATCCACTTCTGACCAAGGCCTTCGCACCTTCCTCATTCTGCCCACTGGCTGTTGCTGCCATGCCAGCTTTCACCAGTATCATTCCTTAAATCTCCCTCATCCGTCTTCACTCTCCTATTTATCTCTCAGAACTTGAGGCTGCTCTCTCTCAAAGCCCTCCCAAATGCAGCCTGTCCATTTTCCAACTTGTTAGTATTTCTCAGTGACCAGGAAATTCCAACCACCAAGCAAAATGCCATCTCTGGTGAGTCTAAAAAGTGGCTTTAAAAAAAATGTGGCCTAAAACTACTTGAGGAGAACTGAAGGTGGGAGGCAGGAAGACCCTTAGGGATATCTAACCCAGTTCTGTCCATTCCCAAAAGACACTAGGTCTCACCCCAACACCTCCTACCTCCCAGTCCAGAGTTCTTCCAGCTATATCATGCTGCTGCCCCTAAAACAAGCAAGCTGAACTACTGAATCCCAGGAGTGTGGCAGTTCAGGTGGGAAGAGCTGCATCTACTTCACACTGGATACAAGAAAGCAAGCATTTGACTCCTTCGGATCTCAGCCCTTCGAGCCCAGCTGAGCCTGCCTCACCACCTAAGATACCTAGAGGGGCAAATCTCAGAACCGGCCTCCTGTCTCTGGACAGTGGGAGAGTGGCCAGGACTGATGCTCCTTGCTGAAGGATTGGCTGGATGCACAGATTTGGCCAACTACAGCCTAGTGTCCCTGTGGGATGCAGGAGCCCTGTCTGGCTCCAACTCGAAGTAGGTCAGATTTCAGATAAGCGGGTGGTTTTCCTGTAAGTGATGAAACCCTCCTCTGTACTTAATGAGAAACAGACTCCTCAACTTACCCAGCACACAGAAGCAGAAGCATGGTGAGATTCCTCGCTTTTGTCTCTTCCTTCTCATCCCCAAGACCCCATCACATACCTCTTCAAACCGCCCCTCTGGCCTTATTGTCTCCCGGTCACCATGACTGCTAAACACAAATTCTTCTCAGTGTTTCCCTGCAACAATGGACTCAAGCATCTATATCTGGTCAATAGCTCCTCCACGTGGCACCCAAGGCTCTCTTGTAGGAGTTTCTTCAACACTACTTCCCTGCAGAAAACCACAGCATCCAAGCCCCACTGGAGTCCTGGTACCCTTCACAGTATTTCTCAGTGGTAGTTTGCAGTATGACTTACACACTATATTGATGACTATCTCTACTTGAACCTTGCCCTGAGAGAAAGGAATCATGCCATATGTCTTGTCACTTCTGGGCGTCCCAGTGCTCTATAGCTAACTGGAGTCTACAGACCTTGCCAACTCTTTCCCCAACAAAGGCTAGGGATCTGAAAATCTCCAAGGATATCTATCTAGCCCCCAAGATCAATGTGAAGTTTCCAAAACAATCCAGGACAATGACCACCAGTGTTAATTTGAATCATCTTTAGGGACAGGCATTTCATCACTTTACCTCCTGCTGGATGGAATTTTATGTCTAACAACTCTTTCATGCCACAGAACCAACCTCCTGACTTCCCCCAGTCTCCAGAGATACCCAAGATTAGCAGTACTTTCCATATTTGTGATCACAGGCCCCTTTGTAGATCCTCCCGCCCTACACAAAATTGTGCAAACAATTTCTAGGATCTTCAATGGCTATGAACTCAGCTAGATGGTGGATAGAGGGGGAAAAAAAGCAAAGCAATCATCAACACAGCTCAAGACAGTTTGGAAGGTGCTTCAATAGGTAAATACTGAGATCTAGAACAGGGCAGGCAGCGTCTGTCAGACTGAATGTTTTATTTCAACAGACATCCCTGGTTTAAAAAAAAAGGGGAAGGGGGTGGTCAACACTTCATCACATCCGACAGGGAGCAAAACTCCCATCCAAGAACTCAGAGCCCCTTCTGAGGCATCACTCGAGTCTTTGCTGGCTCCAAGACAGAAAGGAGCTGAATTTTCTAACTTCTGTTAAGAAAAATCTATCAAATGTGTTCATTTTCTCGCAGAGGCGAGGGCTGGGTCCTCAGGGAAAGAGATCCTGGGCTTAGAGCAGCTGGGGTCCCAGAGGTGAAGCTGGGGGCCAAGCCAGCTGGGCTGGCAGGAGATCGTGGGAGCAATCGGTTCCAGAGCCCTAGAATCCATACTTGGCTTGGGTCTGCCGGCGGCTGAGCTTGTTTTCTGACCAGGTGTTCTTCAGTTCCAGTTCCCGCTCCTTAGCCTGTGGCAAGGAAGAAGGGGTTGGGGAAAGTCAAACTGGAATTCTGAGAGACATTTTCCTCTTGCCAGTGTGAGTATCCCAATTTAAAATCTTTCTTCCATTTCCCAGAGACTTCATGCAGAAAAAAAAAAAAGAAAAAAAATAAAATAAAATCTTTCTTCCATCAAAACAATTATGAGGATCCCTTGAAAGACTGATCCAAGTAGAAGGAGAAACCAAGAAGCAAAGAAAGCAAAAAATAAATAAATAAATAAATAAAAAGAAAGCAAAGAAAAGTCATCTCTTTGCAGAGCTATCAAGATTTAAGTAGAGGCCAGGCACAGTGGCTCACACCTGTAATCCTAACACTCTGGAAGGCTGAGATGGGAGGACTGCTTAAGCTCAGGAGTTCAAGCCCAGCCTGACCAAAAAAGCAAGACCCCATTTCTACTAAAAATAGAAAAATTAGCTGGGGTATCATGGTTCATGCCTGTAATTCCAGCTACTCAGGGAGGCTGAGGCAGGAGGATTGCTTGAGCCTCCTTAGTTTGAGGCTGCAGTAAGCTATAATGATGGCACTGCACTATACTAAGGGTGACAGAGTGAGACTCTGTCTCAAAAAAAAAAAAAAAAAATTAAGTAGAATAAATACTCAAGAATCCTGGCGCTGGCCAGGTGCGGTGGCTCATGCCTGTAATCCTACCACTCTGGGAGGCCGAGGTGGGCAGATTGCTCCAGGTCAGGAGTTCGAAACCAACCTGAGCAAGGGCAAGACCCCGTCTCTACTATAAATAGAAATACATTAATTGGCCAAGTAATATATATAGAAAAAATTAGCCGGGCATGGTGGCACATGCCTGTAGTCCCAGCTACTCAGGAGGCTGAGGCAGAAGGATCACTTGAGCCCAGGAGTTTGAGGTTGCTGTGAGCTAGGCTGACGTCATGGCACTCACTCTAGCTTAGGCAACAAAGCGAGACTCTGTCTCAAAAACAAAAAAAGAATCCTGGTGCTGCTCTGGTAGAATAATACTGAAATGCTCAAGGGGAAATAGACAAATGAGAACTAGAATTTGGCATCTGAAAGAAAGGCAAATCAGCTGCTTAGATACTCGACCAGCAGAGTGAAAGGGGACAGCCTCAAAGACTGGCAGGTCAAAACAGAACACAACAACCAACTTAGTCTGGAGATGCAGTTTTGCTCCTGTTAAATATCGTATCTGTGTACCCCAGAAATTCATCTATTTAAGTAACACCTTAAGCTGTGAAAAACAGAGGTACTAGAATAATGACTTCTCTTTTCTATCTTGACAACTGGATATATTAAATCCTGGGAATGTACAAGCACCATCCTAGAAAAGGGGACTCCCCAACCCCCAATCCCAAAGTATGATGGCCTGCTCATTTCCACTGGAATTGAGGGGAGGAAGAAGAATCTGGGTTTGAAAAAGACCCTACCCTCAAATTCTTTCCCTATAAATCACAAGATAGGGAAAGAGTACAAAGGAGTACCTGAAAAAGGAGGTAAAAAGATGACAAATGATGAAAGCACGGCTGCACTGAAATTGCCAACCAGAACTGTACACTCACTCTCTAGGAAAAGGGCCAGGAAGGGGTCTTATTTATGTCTGTATCTTTGACAGTATTGAGTACAGTAGGTCTCAAAAAGATAATTTACAGACTGTACCTGGTGGTATTTATAGTCAAGAGAAATGTAAATAAATGTAAAAATACAGTATTAAATCATAACTGCATAAAATTAACTCTACTACTATAATAATTTTATAGACACCTCCTGTTGCTATTGCAGTGAGCTCAAGTGTTACAGGTATCTGCTTAAAAACCATGTCACACTAAACCTCTCTGCCTGAGCAGGTCATCTCTACAGTAAATTGCATATTGCAGCAAAATGTGATTTCTCTCAGTTCTTGCATATTTTTCATCATGTTTAGTACCATACCATAAACTTTGAATAACACCATGGGATCAGGCCGGGTGCGGTGGCTCACGCCTATAATCTCAGCACTATGGGAAGCCAAGGCGGGCGGATCGCTCAAGGTCAGGAGTTCAAAACCAGCCTGAGCAAGAGCAAGACCCCCGTCTTTACTAAAAAAAATAGAGAGAAATTAATTAGCCAACTAAAAAAATATATATATATATATACATATATATATATGTGGAAAAAATTAGCCGGGTATGGTGGCACATGCCTGTAGTCCCAGCTACTTGGGAGACTGAGACAGAAGGATTGCTTGAGCCCAGGAGTTTGAGGTTGCTGTGAGCTAGGCTGACGCCATGGCACTCTAGCCTGAGCAACACAGTGAGACTCTGTCTCAAAAAAAAAAAAAAAAAAACCATGGAATCCATACGAAGTGCCACTAGTAATGCTGGAAGTGCTCCCAAGAAGCAGAGAAAGTCATGACATTACAAGAAAAAGTTGAATTGCTTGACATGTACCACAGATTGAGGTCTGCAGCTGTGGCTGCCCACCATTTCAAGATAAATGAATCCAGTATAAGGACCATTGTAAAAAAAGAAAAGGAAATTCATAAAACTGTCACTGCAGCTATGCCCTCAGACATGAAAACCTTGTATGTTTTGCAAAATACAAAACATGTGTTAATCAACTGTTTATGTTATCAGTAAGTCTTCTGGTCAACAGCAGCTAGTTTGGGGAGTCAAAATTATCACAGACATTTGAACTGTAGTGAGGGTGGGATCCACTAACCCCCATGTTGTTCAAGGGTCAACTATATTTGAAAGCTGTCTAGTCACATCAAATAAATACCAAGACATATTCTAACAGACATTTTTGGATTATCTGTAATTCTGAATGATTTGTGTGCTCCCTGCCACAGAAGAGAAGAATATAAAACCAAGCTCTTCATCAAGTGGATGTTTTGCTAAGTTGGTGAATCAACCTTTTAAAAGAATTTTAATTACTAGGTAAATTTGCCATTTAAAAGAACCCTATGATAAACCATTTAATTATGTTTTGGATATCTGAATTTTCACTTACAGAGTTTATTCTAAGCACCTGCACCTGAGTCTCATCGGCAGCAAGACTGAACTAGAGCAAGATCATTCTGAAGGGGATATCCCCCCCTAGTGGCCACATGGAGAACAGGGGTGGACACCTGCTGGAAGATGGTCCCTGGCACCTGGGCTCCAAGCCCACATCTCAGCCTTCAAATTCCCAGGTTTACAGGGATCTCTCCTGTGTCAGGGCCCTCAGTCCTCTCACCTGATGAATCAGATATGTGATCTGGTGTTTCCTCCGCTGCTGGCCTGTAGGCTGCTCACCTTTCTTCTGCAAGGGAGGAAAACACAGTCATTAACCCACAAGAAGAAAGAAGTTTCTTAGGTGCCCAGACGGTGCAAGGTTAGGATTGAGAAACCAACTACACAGCCCAAATCCTGGGGGGAGAAAAGTCAGCTTGGAGCTGTTTTTATGTCTATATACTTACAAAACAGTTATTCAAACCATTATGTAAAAAAACCAGTTTAGAAATACTTACCTAAAATAGCCTGCTAATATCCCCATTAGAGTGGAAATATTTTGAGGTCAAGACTGTCTTCTGTTTCTTTGGTAATCTCACCCCACAACCAGCACCCAGCATGGGGCTCTATCCATGATGGATACTTGAGACCAGTTTTACTTGCCTGCAGTCAGCCTGAAACAGCTTACATGCCAGGGCACAAGTGATCTTCTGCCCTCCTTCCAGCCTCCCATAATCCCTGTGCCCATCTCCCCTTAAACCCTCTTCATCTCTGTCCCCTTCTCCCCAGTCAGGCCAGATGTCTAGCCTGTCTCCTACCTACTGCTTACCAAGCTCTCTGCCATCAATCACCTCTGGCTGAAACCCTGCCTCCCCATTCTAGTAAGTGCCAGCAGCTTCCCTGGAATCAGAAATTTCACAATCACTCCACCTCTCACCAAGCTTCCAGGCTCTGCCCATAACTGCATCGAACCCCTAACCAAGCTTTGATGCAAATGATTTACTGTCAAAGTCTATATTGGTCTGAGCTTTCATTCTGCGGTTTTTCTGTCCTCTGCCAGAGTTGTCTCAGACTAGAAGCTTCCTAATCAGCTCCACCCAACTCCCAAAACTCCTCTCTAGAGTCTCCTCAGCACTTATGTAATCAATTTGCACCGTAATCATTTACACTCAAGTGTCCTTAAATCTCTTCTTCCCAACTACGATGCTGTCAACTACTCAAGGACAAGGACTGTATTTTTTTTCTCCTTTTACAAAAATCTAGTTCAATACAATGAGATGGTAGGAGGAAAACTTGGAGGGGGAAAGTAACAAATTCTAATTGCTTGCTGCTATTTAATGTCATTTAATGTGACAGTTAAAGATGATATACATAAAACATCCAGCTCTGTTCCTGGCCCATGGTGAGCATTAACAACAGTAGCTATTACTATGTGACCATGCTTCTCAACCCACAGTTAGTAGAGCATGCTCTCCTAAGTGGTTTTTCCAGTAAACAGTGATGGATCTATGCTGATCTAACCACAATCCTTTGCTCTGTCCTGTATGACCGCCAGCATTCAGTTATAACAAACGGCTGGGGCTCAGATGGCCATCTGTGGCCATAGAACAAAGCAAAGGGTGGGGGGGAGAGAAGGGAACAAAATCCTCGACCTTGGCCTTGCTGGTGCTGGGCTCAAATCCAGGGCTTCCCCACATTTTCCCCCCTGTGGCAGGCTCATAAATGTCCACATTTGCTGTTCTCAGCTACTAGGTGAAAAGATGTTCATCATACTGACTGAAGAAAACTAGTACAGAGAAGGTAGGAGCATGGTGTGGGAAATGTGATGAATAAAAGCATTTGAAGAGACTACAGCTGGCTACAATAAATAATGAAAAGGACAGAGCAGGAATTGCATGATCAGAATCTAGAGACCCCAAGATTTCTGAAGCTCTGTTGTGCCCACACCTCAACTATGTACTGAGCCACATCCTAGCTTAACAGGATGGAGAGGGGGATATGACTATAGGGAGAGGGCAGAACAGCTGTGGGCTCTGTCCAGCCAGGGAAGAAACCACAACACATGAGAGATCTTCCCAACTACAGGCCGGGTAACTAACTGCTCCAAACATTAAACCTCAGCAATCAGACTCCACCATGCAACTAGAAAGCAGTTAAAGTGCTGTAAAGTTCTGGAGGGCAGGACCTATATCTGTGATGCTTGGTGCATACTACTGCAGTACCATGGGCAATATGTGTCCCACTTACTTTGCTGAATGACTTCATGGTTTTCTCTTCTGTCAATGACTTCGTCATCCACTGCTGGGCCCCACTGAGCTGGTCATCACCTTTGATCTCCACAAAGTTGATTTCCTCCCTCCCTCGGTTTCTCTTGCCCTGTAGCCGCTTAAACTGGAAAAGAAAGAAAAAAAAGCAGGAGTCAGGAATCTGGGTGAGGGGATCAGGAGATGCTGCTAAGGATCCAAAGTTATAGGGAATGATCCAAAGTTATAGGTTGTGACTCAGCAATCCCATTGCACCCTCTATTCTTCTCTGTGCAATATGTCCTTTCACCCTGCCATCTACCAAGCCCCCCTGATGCCAGGTGAAAGGCTGCTTCTACTCAGAAGATCTCCTGGACCCAGCGAAAGGGAAGCCAAGAGGTATCCCCAAACTTCATGAGTACTGAAAACCAGTGGTATGAATTTATATTCAAATTACATATAAATCTTATCTGCCTAAAAGGATGGCATACAGTTTTCAAATTATTAATAAGAATCAGGGTAAAAAGAAACCCAGTATTTCTCCTCTGAAAATCAGTTCGTTCTTTATCTCTGAATCAGCAGACCCCATACCAGAGTGGATGTTAGAGTGGGAGAATGTGGAGCTGTGTAGGGAGGGAACCTCACACACCCAAAAAAAGGCCCAGCAAATTTTCTAGGAGACTGCTACTCTTCCCTCCTAAAACAAAAACAAAACAAAATAAAAAATACCACAGATCACACCACAAGTCATCCAGAGATATACCTGGAAGGGAGTGTGGGTGAAGGGGAATAGAATTTAAAAACACTCAGAAACTTCAGTGAGAGCCAGGTCCTGGTCTGAACATTAGTGAGGCCTCTTAGGCTCACTCTACCTGCAAGCAACTATTATAACTTTTGCCACTGAGTTCTCAGTTGTCTCCTGGGCTTAAGAACAAAAGGGTTCAACTACTGACCTTGCCAAAAAGGATATACACAGGGCATAGGATGAACACAATATCAATCACAGGCAGAAGTATGCAAAGGGATGGATACTCTTCTGGGAAAACGTGAGTAGGGAAGAATTACTTTTTATAAGAACCTCCATGGAAAGGTAGCACCTCCTATTTCTCCAACTCCTTCCTAATAGGCATGGCTCCCCTACAGATTGAAGAGTACTTTATATCCTGAATGTGGGCCTGATACCCACAAGACACTTCCCTTGTGCTGAGGTTCAAGAGAAGCTCCACAATAGGGGGATACAGTAATGTGAAACACACGGGTTATTAAACATAGCTGCTGGGTGCCTCCTAAAATCCATTCTCCCCTTTAGTGTGAATGAATCAAAATTTTAGCTAGGCATGTTACCACACAACTAAAAGACTGCATTTCCTAGACCTCCTTGCAAATAGATATTGCAAGCAGATTCTGGTCAGTGAGATAAAAGTGGACATACTCTTAAGAACTCCTAGGAAGTCTCCCAAAAAGAAGGAAAGGGGTATATGTGCCTCCTCTTTCTTTCTCCACCCTATGCTATCTCCAATGCAGATGTGATGGCTGTAGCTTTAGCTGCTATCATGGACAACAAGAATAAAGGCCACAGTCTAGAGATGGCAAAGCAATGATCAGAAGGAGACTGGGTCCCAGATAACTATGTGAAGCTGCCACACCACCCCTGGCCTGTCTACCTCTATCCTGTTTTAATGAGAAAAAAAGTAACTTCCCTTAAGTAAGCCATTATTATTTAGAGTTTCTCAGTTACATGTTGCCAAATTAATCCTAACTGATACTGTTTTTCATTTTTGATTTTTTAAAGTTTCCTTTAGTTTCAGATTTGAAACCTAGTGTCCAAGGGTCAAAGACGGTCTCTTATGCTTTGTTAACTTACTGCTTCGTCATCAATGAAGGAGGCATCTGGGGCAATTTCCTGGGGGGGGACCAAGGCCGGATCCTGTGCAGGATAGTAGCCACCACTGTAATAATCCTGCAGCCAAAGAGGAAAAAAACACACACCAATTGAGGGCACAATGGAGAGGGGAGACCACGGTCTGCCCGGAAACAAGAGAAAACTCTCAGCAAAGAGGCAGTAGTGAGAGACACCACACTACTGCCCCCTCAAATGGACCAGTTAAATGCATAGATCCTAAGGACCTACCCTATAACTCAAGAACAGTTCCTGCAGCTTTTCTGATCTACACTATCCAGACAGATGGATATATTTTAGGGAAGGGTGACAAGGAATAAACAAAGTCTCCCCTACTTCAGTATATACCCTGTTCCCTTGGTTGTTTCCCAAGAGCAATTCCCATCCCTTACACCTCTAACTGCATCCTCAGTACTGCTCTTCCTGCTCTTAAGACCCCAATAAGCTACAATGTGAGCAGGGACAAGAAGGTATGAGCCATGCCATTCCTACTCCTCATCCTATTTGGATAAAAGGAGACTGCCTATAAGGGGTAGGGAGGTTATAGATCAGTGACATAAAATAAACCACTGTTAGGTTTATTATAAAATTTACAATGCTGATAACAAACCAGGTTTGTGCTACCAGATTTTTAGTTCAGAAATCTAATGATTCCCCTTAATGGTGAGGTGCCCAGATATTATTGCAGACCCTAGAGGAAGGGGGTAAAGGCAAGGGCAAGGTCCCTGCTGTGGCCAAGTCAGGCAGACATAGGGCCAAGAAACTGTTTCCTTCTTGCCTATACTTTTTTCTAATTCTTCCACTTTTGCCCAAAACTCTAAGAAATGCCCCTCTAAGAACATTCATTTTATAATGAGCTAAATGGAAAATGGGTTTAATATGCACTACATAAAAATAATATATAAAAATCCAGGGCTACAGATGAATCCAGACAGCGGGGGGAGGAAAAAAAAAAAAAGAAAGAAAAGAAAAATACATAAAAAAGAAAAAAAAAATCCAGGGCAATTAGAGTATGGATTTTCTATAATGGCATTCACAATAAGGTACCTTTAAATTTCAGAATCCTCTCATGTATTTAAAGTGCTTTAATTTGCATAGACTGCCTCAATGGTGTTTATAACTGCATATAGAATTCCAATTTCTTATTTATTTGCTGGATGTAAACCAGTGGTTTCACGGATTTAAATAGCATCACTTTCTTTGCTAAAGAGGTCAAAACACTTATTATCTTCCACCTTCCTTCTAAAAACAACCTTTTTTTCCCATTTTTTTCTTATACAATTATTTTTTTATATATGTATTTTTATTTTAGCGTATTATGGGGGTACAAGTGTTAAGGTTACATATATTGCCCATGCCCCCTAAAAACAACCTCGAGGGGAGATTTATGTCTTCTGATCAGCCTACAGGACACAACAAAGTTTAACGGCAAAGACTTAAGAAACAAAATTATTTTCAAAGTCTCCGGTCAGAACAGGGTCCCCTCAAAGCCTTCCCTCCCTATCCAAGCCCAGACTCAAAATAAGATTAACACTGACCATTCAGAATCACAGTGGCTGAAGGAGACTTAAGTCTTCCAATTATCCCAGGCTGGCAGTAAAACTCTGCAGCTGCCCAGTCGTGGGGCCAGCCAGCTGCCTCTGTCCAACCCTACCACTGGTGCCCAGCCCCAACTGCTGGGAGTGCTCTCCATCCAGAGAAGCTCTAACTGCTGAGAAATTCTTTCCTTTTTTTTTCCTACAAGATTTCATCATGAGTAAGTTCTTTCTTAAAACTACTTAAAAACTGGCATCTTACACTTTCACTCTCTAGGGCCACAATGAACAAACCTAAATATCTCTTCCAAATAACATTTGAATGAAATGTCAATAAAAATAGTTATTATAACCATTAATGGAGCATTTACTACATTCCAGACACCACCATGCTAAGCTAATGTAATTCTCCTGGCAACATATCTCACTTTATAGCTGAGGAATCTTAGAGAGGCAGTTAAGTAATGTGCCCAAACTCACACAGCTTGGTATTCAAATCCCAAACCACCCTCAGGACCCACTTTCTATCACTGCCCAAACTATGGTCTTCTCTCTAAGAATTTGCCCTTTCAACTTCTCCTGACTTAGTAGAGGCATTTCACCATTCTCCTTATTCCCCCTTTGCATTCAACTCTCTAACTCCCTCCTTTCCTTTTCAGCCTCACCTCTCCCTTCTAGTTTTCTCACCACTCCCCACATCCAGAAACTCTTCTTAGACTAACTACTATCTATGAAACCTATCTAAGAAACCTATGCCATAGTTCCTTTATTCTCATCATCTATATTTCAGGAGGCTCTCTTATATCTCTAAGATTAGAGACCACTCCTCTTCCACCTTCTCCCTATACCTCTCACCAGCTCCCATAATAAGATTTTGTTTTCAACAAAGGGGAAGTACTCTAGGATATCAGTCTAGGCAAAGATTTTATGGCTAAGACCTCAAAAGCTCAGGTAACAAAAACAAAAATAGACAAATGGGATGATATTAAACTAAAAAGCTTCTGCACAGCAAAGAAAACAATCAACAGAGTAAAGAGACAACCTGTAGAATGGGAAAAAATATTTGCGAACAATTCATCCAACAAGGGACTAATATCCAGAATATACAAGGAACTCAAATATCTCAACAGCAAAAAACTAAATAATCCCATTAAAAAGTGGGCAAAGGATCTGAATAGACATTTCTCAAAAGAAGACATACAAATGGCCAACAAGCATATTAAAAAATGCTCAACATCATTAATCATCAGAGAAATGCAAATCAAAACCATGATGAGATATCATCTTACCCCATATAGAAGGGCTATTTTAAAAAAGACAAAAATAATAAATGCTGGCCAGGATGTGGAGAAAAGGGAGCTGTTATACACTGTTGGTGGGAATTTAAATTAGTACAGCCATTATGGAAAACAGTATGGAGGTTTCTCAAAAATCTAAAAATAGAACTACCATATGACCCAGCAATCCCACTACTGGGCATTTATCCACAAGGAAGGAAATCAGTTTATCAAAGGGATACCTGTACCCCTATTTTCATGGCAGCATTATTTACAACAGCCAAAATATGGAATCAACCCAAGTGCCCATCAGATGAATGGATAAAAGAAATGTGGTGTTGTGTGTGTGTGTGTGTATAATGGAATACTATTCAGCCATTAAAAAAAATAAATCCTATCATTTGTAGCAACATGGATTCAACTGGTGGTCATTCTGTTCAGTGTAATAATAAGCCAGGCACAGAAAGACAAAAATCGCATGTTAAGGCCAGGTGCAGTGGCTCATACCTGTAATCCTAGCACTCTGGGAGGCCGAGGTGGGAGGATTGTTCAAGGTCAGGAGTTCAAGACCAGCCTGAGCAAGAGCAAAACCCCGTCTCTACTAAAAATAGAAATAAATTAATTGGACAAATAAACAAGTATATAGAGAGAAACTTAGCCGGGCATGGTGGCACATGCCTGTAGTCCCAGCTACTCAGGAGGCTGAGGCAGAAGGATCACTTGAGCCCAGGAGTTTGAGGTTGCTGTGAGCTAGGCTGACGTCATGGCACTCACTCTAGCTTAGGCAACAAAGCGAGACTCTGTCTCAAAAACAAAAAAAGAATCCTGGTGCTGCTTCTGGTAGAATTAATACTGAAATGCTCAAGTGGGAAATAGACAAATGAGAACTAGAATTTGGCATCTGAAAGAAAGGCAAATCAGCTGCTTTAGATACTCGACCAGCAGAGTGAAAGGGGACAGCCTCAAAGACTTGGTCAGGTCAAAACAGAACACCAACCAACAACTTAGTCTGGAGATGCAGTTTTGCTCCTGTGTCAAATATCATATCTGTGGTACCCCAGAAATTCATACTATTTTAAAGTAACACCTTAAGCTGTGAAAAACAGAGGTACTAGAATAATGACTTCTCTTTTCTGATCTTGACAACTGGATATATTAAATCCTGGGAATGTACAAGCACCATCCTAGAAAGGGGACTCCCCAACCCCCAATCCCAAAGTTATCTGATGCCTGCTCATTTCCACTGGAATTGAGGGGAGGAAGAAAGAATCAGGGTTTGAAAAAGACCCTACCCTCAAATTCTTTCCCTATAAATCACAAGATAGGGAAAGAGTACAAAGGAGTACCTGAAAAGGAAGGTAAAAAGATGACAAAGATGATGAAAGCACGGCTTGCCACTGAAATTGCCAACCAGACTGTACACTCACTCTCTAGGAAAAGGGCCAGGAAGGGGTCTTATTTATGTCTGTATCTTTGACAGTATTGAGTACAGTAGGTCTCAAAAAGATAATTTACAGACTGTACCTGGTGGTATTTATAGTAAAGAGAAATGTAAATAAATGTAAAAGTACAGTATTAAATCATAACTGCATAAAATTAACTCTACTACTATAATAATTTTATAGACACCTCCTGTTGCTATTGCAGTGAGCTCAAGTGTTACAGGTATCTGCTTAAAACACCATGTCACACTAAACCTCTCTGCCTGAGCAGGTCATCTCTACAGTAAATTGCATACTGCAGCAAAATGTGATTTCTCTCAGTTCTTGCATATTTTTCATCATGTTTAGTGCCATACCATAAACTTTGAATAACACCATGGGATCAGGCCGGGTGCGGTGGCTCACGCCTATAATCTCAGCACTATGGGAAGCCAAGGCGGGCGGATCGCTCAAGGTCAGGAGTTCAAAACCAGCCTGAGCAAGAGCAAGACCCCCGTCTTTACTAAAAAAAATAGAGAGAAATTAATTAGCCAACTAAAAAAAATGTGCATCAGCCTCGCTCACAGCAGCCTCAAACTCCTGGGCTCCAGTGATCCTACTGCCTTAGCCTTCTGAGTAGCTGGGACTACAGGCATGCACCACCATGCCCAGCTAATTTTTTCTATATATTTTTAGTTGTCCAATTAATTTATTTCTATTTTTAGTAGAGACGGGGTTTTGCTCTTGCTCAGGCTGGTCTTGAACTCCTGACCTTGAACAATCCTCCCACCTCGGCCTCCCAGAGTGCTAGGATTACAGGTATGAGC